AGGAACCCCCCCCCCTAAACTCACCCCCGCTCGCTCTCAAAGTCCTTGGGCCGGTATGGGATGTAGAAGTCCTCGACCTGCTGTGCCGGCTGCTGTGGCTTTTTCCTGGGACCATCTTCTCCCCCTCGGCCCCGTTTTCGCTTCTGGCCCACCACATCAGAGAACACATCCTGCATGGGGACAGTGGAGGGGTTGGGGGAGCCACAACCCCCCCAACATCCCTGCAAGTCTGTGCACCACCCCCAAGCCATAGCACATTTTGGGGGCACAATTTTGCTGCCATCACCGGACCAAAGCCACTCTGCAGCAGCTCCTCTGTCCATGACCCTGTTACCTGGAGGTCTTCTTGCTCTCCTTCTCCTTCCCCATCCTGGGGCCCAGGCGGGGTGGGGCACTGCCCTTTGAGTGCTGCTGCCCGCTTCTCCTGCTGCCCACGCTGGAACTTCTCGATCAGGGCACTGTCGTGGCGCCGCTTGGACCTCATGACGGTGCTGGCCGGCGTCCGGGATGTGGCGTTGATCTCGAAGATGGTCTGTCGCCCAGGGTGGGAGGATGATTCCCAGTGAGCCACATGGACCTTCCCTCCCACCCAAACCCAGGCATCTCAACTCACTGCCTTGGACTTGTAGGTTTTAATGCTGTCCACGAACTTCAGCCTCTCCAGCTCAGTGTCTTCGAAGCGAGTGCCTGGGGAAGGCGGGCACGGAGAGTGGCACAGATCAGTTCCCTGGCAAAGGCAACGGGGTCCCCTCTCTCAGCACCCCCGAGGCACTCACTGAAGAGCGGGTGCATGCCCAGCTGGGACACATCCAGGTCCTTGGCCCTCTTGATGGACTCAGGCGAGGGGCCGGGCCGGGAGCGCAGGTACTGCTTCTGGGCATTGTCGGCGACGCGGCGCAGGCTGCGCAGCTCCAGCGAGCCCTCATGGTCTGTCAGCAGCAGGCACTCCTCATCATCCACCAGGCTCTGGGGGACACGGCCCAGGACCCCACCAGCGTCTGTAGCACAGGGGACACCGTGTCACCTCCCCAGCACCCACCCTGCATTTATCAGAGCAGCCCCAGGGAGCTCGGCAGTGCTCAATCAGCACCCCCAACACCCTGTTTTCCGCATCGCTCCTCTGTGTGAGGGCCAACCATAGGACCACAGACTCCAGCACTGGCCAAAGGTAATGCCCCAGCGGCCCCGTGGCCACTGTCTCAGCTTGGCCATGCAGCCACTGCCTGCCTCACCAGCGGGCATCTCCTGGGTTCCGGCGAGGACGAGCGGGCGTCCCAGGAAGAGGTGCAGGTCGAAGACATAGGGCATCTCATCAGGAGCCACCAGTGAGTAGGCAGTGCCACTCCGGCCAGCTCGGGCCACGCGACCTGGCAAGGGGAGGAGGAGAGTGGGAAACCAGACCTCGTGCCAGCCCAGCCTGTCCCCACCCAGATAAGGACCCACTGGTGTCCCTGGGAGCTCATGCACATGACATTTACTGGGTGGGCAAGGCTAGGGAAGGGGCAAAAAGGAGCCCACCACAGTGCCATCCTAAAGAGAAGGTGCCAGCTCTGCCCCCAAGAGCTCCCACAGTCCAACTGGGACATCGGGGACACTCCTGACACTGCTTTGTCTCCAGCCTGTCCCCTGTTGTCATGACTTGGTGACCTCCTGCCCCAAGCCAGGGACACCAGTGCCAGCTCAGCAGGCCACAAGGATGGGGAAAACAGGGGACAAGGCACAGCCCACTCACACCCTCCCCATCACCCTGAGGGACCCCCAGGACCCTGTGTGGGGCACTGGCACCCACCGACACGATGCAGGAACAGCTTGGCCTTGGCGGGGAAGCTGAAGTTGATGACGTTGTCCAGCATGGGGATGTCCAGCCCGCGGGCGGCCACGTCAGTGACCAGCAGCACCGGGCACTTGCCCTGGGAGAACTTGGCGATGTTGATCTTGCGGGCGGTCTGGTCCAGAGAGCTGTAGATGTGGGTGCAGCGGATGCCCTGTGCTGTCAGCAGCTGGGGAAGGGGAGGAAGAGAGACGGGATCCCACCTGGGCATGTGCCCTCAGCCAACAGACAGGGCCTGAGGCTCCAGGGTGCCCACTCAGACACCCAACTCCCACTGTGCTCCACCTCTTTGAGGGGTAGGTGAATGCAGCACCTCCACTGTTACATATGCTGGGATTTCTTCTTCAAGCCACTGAAACAGTAGCAGAAGCTCCAGCAGGGATATCCACGGCTGAAGACCCCATGTGGGTCTGGAAAGGTATCCTAGGCACCCCCAGGGGTACATTCTGGGCACCTCCAAGTGCCACTTACCTCCTTCAGATACTCCGTGTGGTGCTTGGTGGCCACGAAGACGACGGTCTGGTCCTGGGGCTTCGCCACACTGCGGAGCAGGTGGAGCAGCACGGCCGGTTTGTCGTCCCCGCGCACGTGGAAGAACGCCAGCTGTGACGGGAGGGCAGCGCTCAGCCCTGTGCCCCACCCTGTGCCAGCCCTGCCACCCTTGTCCCCTCCTCAGGAGCAAGTGGCTGTAGGAGGTGCGGGCACAAAGCCTGTCTCACCTTGAGCTGCTCGCTCAGCTTGGACTCCACATCCAGGCGGATCAGCATCGGCTCGGTGAGGCCTGTGGGATGTGGGACACGCGGGACACAGGTCACACGTGGGATGTGCTACTGGGACCAGCCCCACTGAGGGGCTTGGAGACACCAAGCGTTAATCCAGCTCAGTTTTGTCAATGCTGGGCTCAGCCCAGCTGTGGGACCGTGCTGTGTCCCCGTCCCCTGGCTCCTCCAGTGCCACCTGCCCCCTGCTCCTCACCGGCCCGGGCGAACTCGACGAGCAGCTTGGGCAGTGTGGCGGAGAAGAGGACGGTCTGGTGGCAGTCTGGGAGCCGGGCAATGATCTCATGGAGCTGCTCAGCAAAGCCCATCTCGAAGAGCCTGCAGGGCAGGGGACGTGGGATGTGGCAGGTCCCTCACTGCCACTGCAGGGACACATATGGGGACACTGCCAGCCTCGGGACCCCCCTGTGCCCCACTGACCTGTCGGCCTCGTCGAACACCACGTACTCCACAGTGTGCAGCTTCAGCTTCATCTCCACTGCCACGTGCACCAGGCGCCCGGGGGTGGCGATGATTCTGTGGGGACAGATGTGGTGACAGGACTGGGGAGGTGACAGTGTCCCCACCCCATGCTGGGAGCAGATCCCAAATCCAACCCAAAGAAGTTCCGCAGGAAGATGCTCCAAGGGAGACACCAAGGCCGTCAGGACACATCCCTCAGGCACACTGGCTCTAAATATCAGTGATATCCCTAGAGAGGAGATATCATTTCCAGGGGCCATTTCCCCACCAGGTCCCCTCCCTGTGCCCCACTCACATGTCTGGGTTCTCATGCAGGGCAGCAAACTGGTCCTCCATCCTGTGAGAGAGGGGAGAGGCTGGAGTGGCACAGGGCAGCTCAGCCCCTCACCAGGTTTTGGGGAGGTTTTAGGGAAGCAGGGACCGGTGGGGGACACAGGGACAGCTTACTTGTCTCCTCCCAGGATCAAGGCTGTCTTCAAGCCTGTGAACTTGCCCAGCTTAAGGGTGAGAAAGAAGCATGTTGGAAACCAAACCCATCGCTCCCATTGTCCCCACTCGCCCCTTCTCTCCCCTGTACCTCCTTGGTGAACTTGAGGGTCTGCAGGGCCAGCTCCCGGGTGGGCGAGAGGATGAGGGCACGTGCCCCGGCCTGGCTGGGTGCCTTGAGCCGCTCGAACATGGGGATGAGGAAACAGGCCGTCTTCCCGCTGCCCGTCCGTGCCATTGCCACCACGTCCCGGCCGCGCAGGATGGCGGGGATGGTCTGTGACACAGTGCCATCACCGTCACTGCCACCGCCCCCCCGCCACCCCTCGGGGAGGGGACCCACCGCCCCCCACGCTCACCTTCCTCTGGATGGGGGTGGGCACCTTGTAGCCCTTCTTCATGATGCCCTTGAAGACAGGGTAGCTGAGGCCTGAAGGGACAGGGACAGGTGAGGGGGCGTGGGTAGGAGGGGACAGTCCCCATCCCAGGGACAGCTGTCCCCTGCCCCACACGCACCCATGGACTGGAAGCCCCCGGATTTCTTCTTCTTCTGGTTCTGGGCCCGAACCATCGCCTGGGTGTCCAGCTCGGCGTCAGCGCCATCGTCCTCCTCGGCAGCGGTGGGGAAGGCAGGCAGGGCGGGCGCGGGGACCCGGGGACACGCCTGTGGGGATGGGTGTCACAGTGGGGCCAGGGCATTGCAGCTCTGCACTGCCGGCATCCAGGGCAGGGACATCCATGCTGGGGACAGGGGGTGCCAGGGACACTGGCACTGGGGACATCGGCAAGGGGGACATAGGTAGGTACTGGAGACACTGGTACTGGGGACATCGGCAAGGGGGACATAGGTAGGTACTGGAGACACTGGTACTGGGGACGTTGGCAACGGGGACTTGTACTAGTGATTCTGGTACTGGGGGCATCGGCACTGGGGACACTGGCACTAGAGACACTGGCATTAGGGACACAGGTAGGTACTGGGGGCATCGGCACTGGGGACAGTGGCACTGGGAAAATCAGCACTGGGGACATCGGCACTGAGGACAGCCGTACTGGGGGCGCTGGCACACGGCAACCGGCGACACCAGGACGGGGCACAGGGGCACCGGGAACGCTGGTGCCGAGGACGCCAGCCCCGGGCGCAGCGGGGACACCGGCACACGGGGACGGGCACGGCGGACATCGCACACACCGCACACACCTCGGGGTCCTCCCCGCTCCCCCCGTTCTCCCCGTACCGGCGCTCCCCGGGGCTGGCGGCGGCTGCGCGGCGGCGCCATGGCGGGACCGGCGGCGGAACCACGTGGCGGGGGCGGAAGGGGCTGGGCCGGGGCCGTGCCCGCCCCGGGGCCGCGGCCATGCGGGCGGGGGGAGCGGCACCGAGACCGGCACCGAGACCGGCCCCGGGCGGTGGCTCCGCTCCCGCCGCCGCCCGCCCGCCGCGGGTCCCCCGGGGCCGCCGCCGGGCACGGGCCTCCTTCGTGGACGAGTCGCTGTTCGGGCGCCCCGCGGGGTCCCGCCCGCCGCCGCCCGCCTTCGCACCGCCCTGGGCGGCTCCCCCGGCTCCCGCTGCCGGCGGCTCCCGGCCGAGGAGTCAGTGCAGGTGAGCGGCGGCTCAGGGTGCTCCCCCGCTCCCGCTCCCCGCAGCCCCCGCTGTCCCGCATTTCGGGGCTCACTACGCGGGAAGGGGGTCGGTGGCTCCCGGGAGGGTCTGGCGGGGGATCTCAGTCTCCCACAGGGGTCTTCTTTCCCCCTCGTGAATCCCTCCCCATCCCGCTCGGGTCCCGGTGATGCCGCTCTAACCAACACGTGTCTCTCCGCTTGTCGCCTCGCCAAGGTCCCGAAGCCACGCTCCGTCCTTCTGCGACGAGTCCCTGTTCGGTGCCAAGCCCCAGGGTGCCGCTTGGGCAGCTCCGTGGATGAGGAAACAAGACATAGCCAAGCTCCATACGCTGCTCTGGAGCCCCCCGCCCGCCCCTCGAAACCAGCCCGGCCTTTCCCCTCTCTCCAGGGGGACACCCCTGAGAGCCGTGCACCCACCAGCCTCTGCCCCTCCGGCCACAGCGGGCTCAGAGCCCGGCCACAGGGGCAAATCCGGTGGCTGCAAGTGTCCCGAGAGCAATGCTTGCTCCGAAGGCTGGGGGCCTCCTGTCAGAGGACGTTCCCAGTCTGTCAGCCGGCTCAGCGCCCCCTTGGAAAGGCTTCACCTGGCTTCAGACAACCTCGGGACAGAAAAGTGGAAAAACCAGAGTGCTCCGACAACCCCTGCCTCCTCCGGAGGCCCTCTGATGAGGGGCAGGTCCAAAAGCTTGTCCGGACCTCCTGTGGCCAGGAATGCAGGTGGCTGCAAGCCCAGACCACCCTGGAAGTGATGCCAAATGTCCCTCTGGATGTACATAACAGCCTTAGAACTACCTGAGACCTCCCAGTGACCAAGTGTGTGAGGACCCTGCGCTTTTCTGTGGCTGGAGACAAAGGATGGGGCTGTTCCATGCTGGAGGACAAGCCAGGAGCTGGAGGTGACCACAGCACCAGAGGCAGTGAAGGGCACAACCCCACATCCCACAGTACCAGAGTGGGATGGCCTTGGTGGGAACAGCCACTTCCATGGATGTCCAGTTGTGATCAGATGAGGTGTGGTAACGAGTCGGGTTCCTGCTGTCTGCAAAGTCCAGCTGGGAAGTCAGAGCAGCAGGAGACAGGAGTGCCCACAGGGCAGTCCAAGGCCCATCCAGGAGAAGGACCATGCGCAGGTACAGTGACAGCACAGAGCGACAGGGACAGGCAGGGCTGAGCTCATGGAGCTCCCAGAAGAGGGAGCAGGGGGTGCCACCGGGGTGGGGGTCCCAGGTGAGGCCAGCCAGGGCAGCTGAGGTCTGAGGGTCCCAAAGGGGACCTTTGCTGACAATTCTGGGGAGAGAAGTCCTGCTCTGTCCTGCCTGTCACGTGCAATCACAGGATCGCTCGTGGTTGTGGGAATGCAGGTGATCCCTATTTCAACCTCCTGCTCGTGGCAGCTGAGCTTTGGCTTTATCCAGTCGGGTGCTGGAAACCTCCAAAGGTAGAGGCTGCACAGCCTCTCTGGCCCCTATCCCACTGCTCCACTGTCCTCGAAGAGGACTTTCCCTTTATATCCAGTCAGAGCCTTTGTTGTTTCAATTTGTGTCTGTTCTCATTCCGAGCACAAAGCTTGGCCCAACTCTCATGGACACCTCCTCTTCGCAGGTACTGGGAGGCTGCTTTTAGCCCCCCCCAAAACATTCCCTTCTCCAGAGAAGGAGCCCCATTCCCTCTGCCTCCGTGCACAGGACGTGTGCTCCAGCCCTGACGGCCTTGGTGTCTCCCTGCTGTCCTTGCTCCGTGTCATCGGCGCTTTAAGGTCTCCTCTGGCAAGTCTGGAGAAAGGAGGACGAGTTTGGAGATGAGGAATGGCATCACCCTGCATCCTGCTGGTGGTGGGATGGCCCCAGGCTGGGTGGGGTTTGTGACAGAGGAGGACCAGCTGCAGGGATTTTGGCAGCTCATGGTGATGAGCTGCTGAGTGGACACGTAACCCTCTGGCTTGTGCTGAGGGTTGTTCACAGCAGTGCCATGCTGTCACCAAATAAATGATCCAAGACAAATCTGGGACCTCATGTTTGGTCCGTGGGATGCTGCTGAGCCATCTGGGCATCTCCAAAGGCTGAGTAAAGCAGCTCCTCAGTTTCCATCCCTGAGGTGGGAAAGAGCAGCTTGATCTGTAGGAATGTAGGTGGGGAGGCAGATAAAGGACATGGGCTGGGTGACTTGGGGTTTGCAGTCACTGCTGCCCAGGGAAGGAGGCTGTGGGGAGGAGCCCATGAGGTTCAGGGAATACAGGAGAGTCCTGGCAGTTTGGTAACTCCCTCCAACGCAAAGGGAAACACTCCAAATACACCCCAGGACACACTGAGCCAGGTTAAGAGCATCATTCTGCCCCCAGAAATTATTTTATTGCACCTTAAGCAGCAAGGAATCTGCCTTGACCCACTCCAGCACGTGGAGCTGGAGCCAGCCAGGAGCCTGCCCTGCAGGGATTTTGTGCTTATTTCTTGGCCTTCTTGCCCCTTCCCTTTTTCTTTATCTCCAGCATGAGGAATGGCTGGAATAGGCAGCTTTTCTGGATGTGGGTATTGTGGCTGTACAGCTCAGGTTGTGGCTGTATCCCTCCCATCCCACTCATTCTCCTGCTGTGTCCAGGAACAGCAGGTAAGCACGGTGTGTTTCTCCTTCAGGACAAGCCCTTTCCTGGGTGCAGACAGCACAAAGTACCTCTGGTTCAGCCTGCCAAGGCAGCAGGTGCCAGTTCCTGCAAACTTGAGGGCATTGAGCAGGTTCCTCCTGCACATCCCTACAAAGGGATCCTTTTACCTATCCCAGATCTGGGTAGAATTGCCCCTGGCTGCTGAACTGAGCCTTCCCAAGGGACCAAATGAAGGAAATGTGCCTGAACGGGACTTTTCAAGAGGTGCCAGGTCTAAATACTTTCATGCTCCTTTGAACCTCCCCCAGAAAGCCAAGGACAGTTGGGTTTGGTGGCACTCAGCACAGGAGGAGGGTTAGGGGACCCAGCATTCCTGGGCCTGGTGCTCCCGCCACCTTTGGCAGGTAGAAAGCAAGAATAGCCTGATGTTAAAACCTGAGAAGGTGAGTGAGGGTCCTTGGGATTAGCTCCAAGCTCTCAGATCTTTCCCCACACTTCCCATTGTGGCAGTCCAGCAGCTCTTCTCCACCTGGGTAAAAACTGGAGGGACATGGAACAACTGGGGCCTTCTCAGAAGAGGGGTTGGGGGTGAACCTGAGCCTGCTCAGCTTAATTTGGGATGTGGGCACAGTGATGTGCAACCTGTGAAGGCTGAGAATCCGGGTGTGATTTGGACACTAGATGGAGACAAGAGGGTTGAGGATAGACAGAAAAGCAGGAACACTGTTCCCCAGCGGCAGGGGGATGAGTTGGATGCAGTGGAGTGAATCATCAGCCCACTGGGGTAACTGCCCCGAGATCTCAACAGCAGAGAACTGAACCAGTGCCATACTGGGGAGCTGGAGACCTTGAAAGGTGGAGCCTCTTAAAATGAAGAGAGATTTAATCTGAAAAGCAAGTTGACAGGGGCTTGTATGGCCAGTTTGCTCCTACTGTTGTGTTCAGGCTCCAAGGAATCAGCAGGGAAAACTCAAAGCCCATCACATCAGCCACACACTTTCCTGTCCCAGGGTGTCACCGAGGGCTTCCAGGAGGTCAGACCTGGCAGTTCCTCACTATTTATACCACGAGGACAATGTTGGTGAAATAGAAATGGGTTTATATGGGTTGTTTGCATTTTGTTCTGCAGTTCTCAGTGCTTTACTGTTGCTCTGTCTTCTTGTTCTGACGGGGCTGTGCAGCCCAGCACAAGAGCAAAAGCTGCTCCATTACTGCTGGGGCTGCCCTGCCTGCTGGAACTGGTGCCTGTGTGGTAAAAAACCATTAAATCTGTATAAAATGAGGCAGGAGGAACGTTCATTTTTTTTCCTAGCTCCAGATCCACCCTGTCCAATGTCACTGATGCTTGGCTCAGGCAAGAGTTGTTGATGCAGAGGCCTGAATCAAGCTGGGACTCCTGCCTGCTGCTGCTCTCATTTCTCTGTCTGTTCAGCACTGCTATAAATCTCACTTTCCACCTTTCACTCAACCCTGGCTCCTTTGACTTGAGTCTCTCAGCTAAGTACCAGCTGCTCTGGGAGCTTCCAAAATCACCTGTGCCCAGCCCTAGGTGCTACAAACAACTATAAAAGACATTTTGGTGTGTGGGCAGTGTTACCTTTGCTCTGCTTGGCCCAGACCAGCTCCCTTGTTTCTCTACACAGACACCTGTGTGTGTGGAGATCTGCAGCAGCTGGTGTGCAGCCCCTCTGACCTGGAACAGTGCTTTGAGGAGCGGGTTTTGGGGCTGAGGCAGGGGATGGGGAGAAAAGGTAGTCCTGTGAAGAAGCTGCTTGCTTGGGGGTTGCAGTTGTGTTGCTGCAGGGTTGCCTTCCAGTGAAATCAGCAGAGTGCTGAAGTGGAGCAGGGGCACCCCAAAAACCAGCATGTGCACCAGGAGCTGGCAGGAGCCAGGGGGTTGCCTGGCACAAGCAACAGCCTGATCTGCAGCACTACAACAGGTTTAATCTCCTGCAGGACCTTCCTGAGAGCCAGTGCTGCTTCTCAGTGCTCCCATACAGGTGTGGGGGGTTGTGTCCTGTAGCTCAACACCTCCTTTGGGGAAGCCTGTGGCTCCCATTCCTGATGATGCATCACTTCCCACTTGGTCTGGGGTCTTGAACTTTGAGCCAGCTCCTGCAAGCTTTTGTTGGAATCTCACATCACATTGTCCTGGTAAATCCAGCCCTGGATGGTGAAGGAAATACCACCGAGAAGGAGAGGGCACATGGAAGAATCAGCTGAGCTGCAAAGGTGTGGGTAATTTAAGATTGGACAGCTTTGCTCTGATATCAAGGGGGATGCTCCAGCCAGACAGAGGCTTTTCCTACCCCTTCCTAACACTGACAGGAGTCCTGCCAGTGTCAAAATCCATTTCAGCCACTGGGCAGAGCCTGGTGGCTTTACCACTAGGACTCAGCACAGAGGGACTGTCCTGGGGGCTGCCTGTGGGAGAAACACCCAGCCTGGACCACTGGAACAGGTTTATTCATTACACAGGCTGCTGGCTTCCAGCTTGGGAATCCTCACCTCATCAGGCATAGATGGAATCCCGCGGCCTTGGGATGTGTGTTCCATGGTGGGGCCCTCACAGCACCTGCTCTACCTGTGTGGCTGGGGTGCACTCGGGGCCGCACTGATCCCTGCAGCCAACGGGAACTGGAACCTGGGAACAGGGACGTCCCTTCTTGGAGCGGGGGAACGGGGTGGCCCAGCCCAGAACCTGGTGTGGGGGTCCCGGGGAGAGTGTCCTGGCCCAGCCCCGGAGCAAGAAGGGTCCCCAGTGGGGTTGTCCCGGTCCAGCCCAGGAGCGGGGGTGTCGCGGGAGGATCCCAGTCCGGGTTCCCCTCCGGGCTCCCCGGGCCGCTCCCGCCGTTGCCCGGCAACCGCTCCGCTCCCTCTGACCCCCGGGGGCGGGGCCTCAGTGCAGCCAATGGCAGCCCACGATCTTCTCCCCGAGAGCCCAGCCCCGCCACCTCGGGCCAATCAGCGCCCCCGTCTGTCCTGAGGGACAGCGCCGCTACCCAATGGCGAGGCGACATGCGCGATGGGAGGAGGAGGAAGGCGGGATCAACACGGGTCCTCCCGCAGAGGGCGGGGCCGGGCTCGGCGCGCGGATTGGCGGGAGATGCGACCGCTCCGCCCTTTAGGGCGGGGCCGTGGGCGAGGCAGCCAATGGGGAGGCGCGGGGGGCGGGGCCGCGCGCGCGGGGCGCTGAGGAGCCGCGGTCGCTGCGGGCGCCGGTTCGGAGGGGCCGGGACGGGCCGGGGGGTCCCGGGGGGTGTTCGGGGGGCTCGGGGGGTCCCGGAGGGTCCCGCGGGCACGGGGGGCTGGAGCGGAGCCGGTTTACGCGTGGGTGAGGAGGGCGGCGGGGCCGGGGGGGCTCGGGGAGGCGGCGGGGCCGGGCCGGGCTCCGTGACAGCCCCGTGCCCGTGTCCGTCCCGCCGGGCAGGGGCAGCTTGTGTGGGTTGTCCCCGCGGCGCTGCCCTGGGCCTGCTTGATTTTTTTTCCTTTCCCCGTCACCTTTTAGAGAAACCCGTGACCTTGTGGGGCATCGCGCAGTTAAAAATATCCCACAGGAGCTTCATGTGTGCGGACTCCAAGCGGCCTCCGGGGCTCCCTGTTTCCCGTCCCCAGCTGGGACCGAGGCGTGCGGGCTCGTCGGGGGACAGAGCCATGTGTGACGGGGACACTTAGCACCATGCTGGCTCCGGATGCGACAACTCCCGCTGCCCCTGGTGCCGAGGGGTCAGGAGTTTGCCAGGGAACGCTTTTCCTGCTTCCCTGCTGCCCTGCGCTGGCTGGGATAGACAGCCCGGACCTCGCTTTTTGAGTTCAGCTTTGGCATAAATACATCGAGCCCGGCATCCTGCGTTTTGCTTTTTGGAAAGCACATAACTCGATCTCCTTTTTGGAACTGTGGTCTCCGGAGATGGGTGCGTGTGGTGTTATGTCCCTGTGTCCAGAAGACAGCCCCGGTGGAGGACTTTCCCGGGATAGGTTTTGACACAAGCGTTTCACAAGTGGGACTGCAAAAGGCGTTATTTAAAGCTCTGGGAGCTGCAGCCTCTGGAGGGACGGGATGGCTGTGAGCATGGACGATGACGTTCCCCTCATCCTCACCCTGGACGACAGTGGGAGCACCGCCTCAGCCCCTCTGGATGACCTGGATCGGGAGGAGCTGCCTAACGAAAGTAAGATCCCTTTGTCATTCCCTGCCCACTTGTCTGTCTCTTTTGTGGTGGCTGCTCTTCCCAGTGCTTGCCAGGGCCCGAAACTCTCGGAGTTGTCTCTCGGCATCCCGAGGCTGCCTGAGAAAATCACATCAGGCAGTTGCTGCTTGTGTTGGTTGTTTGCTCACAGCTCCATGTGACACTGAACAGGCTGAATGGGTCCTACCAGTGCTGTTTCTAGCACATATTTTGGGTTTCTCTGTGACCTTAAGCTCAACCCTTCTCCACATTGTCCCTGAGCATCTCCTTCCCTTGGCACTGCCCCACTGCAGTTACCTCATGTAGTATTTTCCTATAAACATCTGTCCTTTACAACTGTTGTTTTGCTCATTTCTTAGTTTACATTCTGATTTTTGCAGTAAGAAAAGTGATAATGGGCCAGTAAATGCCTTTAACGCTTTTATTGTGTTCTTATCAAACAACCTGGAGTACTTTTAGACAATTATTCCTGCTGGTGTGAGCCCCAGGTGTTCAGTGGGGCAGAGCCAGTCTGTGAGCACTGGGAGGGGAAAAACAAAAGCCACCATCCCTCACCAGCTTTGGGGTTTTTTGTGTCTTTATTAAAGCCATCACCCTGCAGCAGGTTGGATGGGTACAGAGATGTGCCTGAGCATGTTCAGGGAGTTTCTGGTTTGTTTGCACCCTGTCACTGAATGAATCTGAGCAGTTTTGTTCCACACATCCCCGTGACTTCCAGCTGACATTGCAGGTGCATGCACAGGTCTTGTGATCCTGTTCCAGCCCTTTGTGCCACAAGCTGAACATTTGTAACAAAGAAATCATTTCCTGGCCTGGCATCCTTTTTTTTATCCACATTATTATTCCTCTGTGCCTCTGAGATTTGATTCCTCTTCTAATCAGATGGGTTCCCTTAATTTGCTCCTTCTGTGACTTCCCAAGTCAAGAGTTAGTTTTGGACAAAAAGGATTCTTCCTCCCTCCTCCCCCTCTTCTCCCACCCCTGCAGTTGACTTTCCCTAAGCTCTGCTGCATCCTTGCTCCATCCCATCTGTTTGTCTTTTAAAGTTTAGCTCTCTATTTTTAAGTTAAATAGAAGAGAGAATTCTTCCTCCGTCCACTGGTGTATTTATAGGATTCCTTGTGACTAATTTTAATCGCTCTTCTCTCTTTCTTCCCCCCGCCTCCCATCCCTTCAAAGAAGAAGTGGGGTGAGGCTTAACGTTTGCTTAAAACCAGCACTACTGTGTTAAAGCACAGGCATGAGAATGGATGTATTAATAAATAAAAATACTCCACAATCTGCTTCCCTGGAAATACAGGGAAGTTGTTTAGGGGCCAATTTTGCGCTTCTTAAGAGATTGCTGTGTGGTTCCTGAGGCTTCATTTCCTGGGATTCTCTGAATGAAACGTCTCTTATTTTGCCCTATGTTTTAATCGCTGTTAAAGTTGGATTTGCTGCAAAAATATAAAGCTTATTCTATGGAAGTGATAGGGAAGGAGCCTTCTGAAGTCAGGGTGGGAAGGAGGATTAGAGGAGGAAGGCTGGCATCAACAACTTGAAAGGCGAGTTTATCTCTGAGAAGCGGGAAGCTTAAATGAGTGAGTGAGCACAGTGACACCATCACTGGCAAAAGTAAGCTTGTTTAAAAACCAGGACGTGTGGTGCAGCTTTTCCTCTTTGCCTGCATGGAAAATCTGCTGTGAAATGCAGCGAATTTGTATCTCATGGAGGCTGTGAGGAATCAAATGTGCCCCTTCTGCTCTGCGTCCCGTTTGCTGCTGAGGGCTGAAATGGCATTAACAGAAGTGTGTAATGTTGTGGTTTTAGCCAGAAACTTGTCTTTCCCAGGGAAAAAGAGTATATGAGAAGTTCTTTTGAGGAGAGGCAGAGCCTCCCAGGGTGATGATGAGGACATGGAGACAGGGAAGGTCAGGAGGCTGTTTCCTTCTGGTTTTGTCTTCCTTTTGCATAAACTCTGCTAATAGAACATTCAGCCAGAATTTGGAGGAACAGCTCACTCGTTACAGTGCCTCAGGATCAACTCCTGAGGATTCAGTGGTGGGTTAAACACAAAGCTTTTATTTCAGTGTGTCCCCAGAACGGGCTG